AGATAGATAGATAGATGATAGATAAAATATGAGCCTATGGAATCATTCTCTTTCAAACTGTCACACACATGGTGGCACACAACCATCTGTAACTCTAGTCCAAGGGAATCCAATACCCTCTTATGACCTCTTCAGATACTGTACACACAGGATGCACAGACATTCATTTTTCTTGACGATGCTGTCATATGCAAAAGTGTTTGTCCTATGCAATGGGCAATGGTTTGTGAAAACTTAAGTCAACCATATATAAGCCAGAAATGATTAAAAATTAGGATTTTTAGTGTAACACACTCATTTTACTCTTGAATAGAAAATTAAGAATATGGGTACTGGTGCAAATTGTTTCCTTCACAAAGATGTTCCTTATAAATAAGTTTATCAAAACTTAAGCACTCACCCCAGGACAAACATAAATTCTCCCAGTCTATATGCCAAGGATCTGAAGGAGACTGTAATCCAATAAACACTGTGAGAAACTGAAATCTAAAAGCGAAACTGAAGAGTTCAACAGCCTGTGAGGAACTAAATTCTGCCAAGAACTATGTAAATGGAGTTGGACTCAAAACTTCCTGCAGTCAGACATACAGATGGGAGCCTTGGCCAATCCTTCATTTGCACCCTTATGATGAATACTGAGATCAGTAACCCAGCTAAGCAACAACCAGATTTTGACTGACAGATACTGAAATAATAAATTTAATTATTTTTGTTTACTTTCGAGACACCTGTCACATGGATAAGGCTGGTCTTAAACTTACCATGTAGTCAAAGATGACTTTGAATTTATCACTGAAATCCTCTTGCCTAGGCTCCCTGATTGCTGAGATTGCAGATGGCCACCACAACAAGTCCTACAGTGCTGGCGATCAAACTCAGGGCTTCACCCATGCTGGGCAAGAACTGAACCACTGGGTTACAGCCTCAGTCCCGTTGTTGCTTACTTTACCTTCATCTAGTATCTCGCCTTCCAAATGACCAACTGCTCAAGGGATATGATAACAAGGAATATGGACTGAGTATCCTCTGTCATAAGAACTTAGTGCCTCTTAACAGTCATCCAATTTGTCCTGTGGAGTGAGTCTCACGTGACCCTGTAGCAGCTGTAGGGGGTGATACTTAGGAGGCATACAGTAAGTAGAAGATTGGTTTCTCCATTCATGGTATCAGTTTAGAATCTTGCTCCACAATTAGTAGAACTTGGTGAACATTAAACAACTAAGGATGCTTGGAGCCTTCGGAAGAATGGTGCTGAAGGCAATATCTACAAGCAAAATAGAGATGTGTATGATTACAGACCCAGAAGATGTCACCTGCAAAAATATTATCTCAAATAAAAGAGACAAACTGGGAGAAATACCTGCAACATGGTTCACTCATCTTTGATGTGTAAATTTTCATATAAATTGAAAAGAAACCTATTTAAAACATGCTAATGTGCTTGGAAGTTTGGTATAAACTAAACTCCAGATGCCCAAGCAAATGACAGAAAAGTCAACTTTATTGTGGTTATTTTAATTTAGTTGGTTTTATTTTTTGAGGCAGAGTCTATAAAGTCCTGGCTGTCCTGGAATTCCCTATATAGACCAGGATGGTCTCAAATTCATAGAGATATGTCTGCTTCTGCCTCTCAAACGCTGGGATCACAGGCATGAGCCACCATGGCTGGCAAATGTAATTTAAAAAGAAAAACAAGCAACTATTTTAACCCATTTAAACATTTCTCTCTCTCTCTCTCTCTCTCTCTCTCTCTCTCTCTCTCTCTTTGTTATTGTTTTTTGTTTTTTGAGACAGGGTTTCTTGGTGTAGCCCTGGCTGTCCTAACTCTGTAGCCCAGGCTGGGCTCGAACTTATAGAGATTCACCTGCCTCTGCCTCCCAAATGTTGGGATTAAAGATATGTGCCAGCACTGCTTGGTCTTTATTCATTAAAATTTTCCTGAAATTAAAATACAATTACATAGTTGCCCCCTCTTCTTTTTTATAATTTTATTTTTATTTTGTGGTCATTAGTGTTTTGCCTGCATGTATATCTGTGTGAGGGTGTCAGAAGCTCTGGAGCTGGAGTTAGAGACAGTTGTGAGCTGCCACGTAGGAGCTGGGAATTGAACCCTGGTCCTCTGGAAGAAAGGCCAGTGCTCTTTAATATTAATTAAATTTATTCATTAATTTACATCACAACCACAGTTTCCCCTCCCATTTTCTCTCCCCCACCCTCCACCCATTCACTCCTCCTCTGTTTCTGTTCAGAATAGGGCAGGCCTCCTATGGGTGTCAACAAAGCATGGCATATCACGTTAATGTAGGACTAAGCTCTTCCCCTTGTTTTAAGACTGGGCAAGGCAACCCAGTATGAAGAGTAGGTTCCTGGAAGTCAGCCAAAGTGTTAGAGACAGGCCCTGCTCCCACCGCTAGGAGTCCCACAAGTTAGATCAAGCTACAGAAATGGCACACAAACAAACGTAGAGGGCCTAGGTTGATCCCATGCAGGTTCCCTATCTGTGAGCTCCTGTGACAGGTAGTGGTGATGGTGCACACACAGCATAGCTGTTCTTTTGTGTGTGGGG